TTTAGGGTTTAGGGTGTAGGATTTATGGAGATGCGGGTTCGGGATTTAGGGTTTAGGGTTCCTCTAAAGAGTTCTTGTAGGGGCTCTATCAGGGTTTAGGGTTCAGGGCTTTGGGATTGACGGTTTAGGGTTTCAGGGTTTGGGGCTTAGGGTTTAGGGTTCAGAGGGCCGGGCCGGGGTGTGGGTTTAGGGTTTAGGGCCGTTTAGGGTTTAGGGTTTAGGGTTTAGGGTTTAGGGTTTTGGGTTTAGGGTTTAGGGTTTAGGGTTTAGGGCTGCACAAGCCTGCCATTCTATGAGCGGTACCAGGCGACACGGTTTTTGGGGTTTTGGAACGGCAAGAGTCTTTTTGCCAAATCAAGCCAGCATCAGGAATCGGGAACTTGGCTTGTTCGACCTGGGGTGCAGATCTTAAATCTCAGGCCATAGCAAAGCCATAAATACTCAAATGTTAAGCCCTAAGCCCCAAGCCATAGATGTTGAAATCCCACAAACCTACCCGAATATAGGGTTTGGGGGGTCCTTTATAGTATTTATTGTCTAATCATAAAAAGGAACCCCCCAAGATACTAAACCCTAAACCCTAAACCCAAGATAGTACTAGTAATTAGGCCCCTTTCTCTTACACCCCGAGTCATAGACCTGTCACCCTCAGCCCCGAACCCTAAACCTTGAATCCCTTAACATACACCCATACATTCCGGCAGAGTTAGGGTTTAAGGTTTAGGGTTTAGGGTTTAGGGTTTAAGGTTTAGGGTTTAGGGTTCAGGGCCCTTAACATACACCCATACATTCGGTTTAGGGCCCTTAACATACACCCATACGCTCGTAAGGTTTAGGGTTTAGGGTTTACGGTTTAGGGCCCTTAACATACACCCATACATTCTTAAGGTTTAGGGTTTAGGGTTTACGGTTTAGGGCCCTTAACATACAACCATACATTCTTAAGGTTTAGGGTTTAGGGTTTACGGTTTAGGGCCCTTAACATACACCCATACATTCTTAAGGTTTAGGGTTTAGGGTTCACGGTTTAGGGCCCTTAACATACACCCATGCATTCTGAAGGTTTAGGGTTTAGGGTTTAGGGCTTACGGTTTAGGGCCCTTGACATACACCCATACATTCTAAGCCTTAGCTAGAGGCTCATACCCTGCCCTTTTTTCGAGCACCTACTTTTCCATATCACAGATCCTAACAATAAAACGATGTATACAACTGAAACCCTGAACTCCAAACGTTTTAACCCCATAGTGCCCTTATGTACCACAACTTGTTAGCACACGTACGCCTACAACTCAGAAGCCAAACGGAGACCCTAAACCCTAAATACCCTGAACCCTAAATGCCCTAAACCCTAAACCCTAAGCGGGCAAGAAGCATGCGTGTTGGTAGCATCGGCATGCAGAGTCTCGGCTGCATGCCATGCAACAGGCACAAGTGACACCGTGTGGCAGCAACCTTGGGCCTGCTAAAGCCTGCTTGTGTTTAGGGTTTAGGGTTTAGGGTTTAGGGTTTAGGGTTTAGGGTTTAGGGTTTAGGGCGTAGGGTTTTGGGGTTTAGGGTTTAGCTGCAACCCATTATCTTCAGGGAACTAAAGGTTAACCTGTTCCAAAGAGACTAAAGGTGACCTTCTCGACGACTAAGTCTTCCGGCACAGAATTTAGCAACAGGTCGACAGGAATGGCAGCGAAAGCCTGTCGAAGTAAAAGACTCTGGAGTTTCTTGGATGTGTCATGTTAGGCTTAGGGTTTAGGGTTTAGGATTTAGGGTTTAGGGTTTAGGGTTTAGGGTTTACCCTAAACCCTAACATTTAGAGTTCTAAGACTGCCGGCTGGTCGTGTAGCCTGATAACAACATGGTGTAATTAAGGCCCGTAACTTGACACCTTGCATCCTAAACCCCAAACCCCGAAGCTGTCCCAAATCCGAATACCTCGTTCCCAGACACCTCGAACTAACTTGAAATCCTTAGTACGTACACCCCCACGCTCCTTCGGTGAACTTTGAGTGCGATTCGAACAATGGCCCAACACCCTCAACCCTATACCCAAACACCGAAAAACCCAAAACCAAAAGCGGAAACCCTAAACTCTAAACGCGAAGCCCCAAACCACTAAATCTACACCCTGAAGCCATAATTAAACCCTAAACTCTAAGAATATAGGGGCCTCAGTTATTAGAGTAGAGTTTTGGGGCCCATGATTCTACAATTAGAAAAAGGAACCCCCAAAATAGCTATTTGCAATAATTCAGGCCCCTACATGGAACCCTTATAGTAACCCCTTAGCTAAACCCTAAACCCTGAACCCCTAAACCCCTAAACCCGAAACCCTAAACCCCTAACCCCTGAACACACGAATCCTCGCCAAGGCTTCTCCGGACCTAAACCCCTAAACCCCTAAACCCTAGAATCCTCGCCAAGGCTCCTCCGGATTCGAGCCTAAACCTGCCTGGAGGCCTCGCGGGTCTCACGAGCAAGGCTCGGGGGCGAGGCTCGGGAGGGCTTTTGGGTGTTAGGGTGGTGGGGTTTAGGGGTGTGAGGGTGTTAGGGCGTGAGGGTTTAGGGTTTAGGGTTTAGGGTGGTGGCGTTTAGGGTTTAAGGTTTAAGGTTTAGGGTTTAGGGCTAAACCCGAATACCCCTCAACCCTCGGCACTCCAAATCCTGAAACGGAACTCCCCTCAAGCATTGCCCAGAAGCCTCGTTTCTGTGTTGTTCTAAGGCCCTAATGAGGACTCATATTTTAGGGCTTTGGGGCCCAAAGATCATAGAATAAACGGCTTTTCTGCGATGTTGGGCCTTAGGGTGGTGTGATAGTACCAACCTGGGTGGAGAAGTTAGAGGAAGCTGCAAACTGGGTGAAATGTTGGTTTCCGAACCGGGTTAATGAATCAGACGCGGAACATCCGTGAAACAGGGCGTTTTTGTTGATGCAAATGCTCTGGGTCAGGGTTTCGAAAGTAAGCCCTAAACCCTAAACCCTAATGTGGTCGGGAAGGCCTCCAGCTTGTTGGCCGTTTGTGGACCCTAAACCACAATTCTACCGTGAACTCTATACCCTAAACTCTAATTATACCGTGACCTCTATACCCTAAACCGGTTATACCGTGAACCCTATACCCTAAACCCTAAACCGATTATACCGTGAACCCTATACCCTAAACCACAAATATACCGCGAACTCCATACCCTAAACTCTAATTATACCGTGAACTCTATACCCTAAACCGCTTGTACCGTGAACCCTATACCCTAAACCGATTATACCGTGAACTCTATACCCTAAACTCTAATTATACCGTGAACTCTATACCCTTAACCGGTTATACCGTGAACCCTATACCCTAAACCCTAAACCGATTATACCGTGAACTCTATACCCTAAACTCTAACTATACCGTGAACTCTATACCCTTAACCGGTTATACCGTGAAC